CATATTAAATGCAGGCATGCGTAAATGAATTAAAACATATGAGAATTTTATTATGCCCAATGTGGGTCTAACATAGTCAAATATCCATGGGCATACTTTTGCATTTAGGTAGAATGAGCTTTTTCTTAATGGACTTTATTTTTTTTTATGACTTTTTTTTGACATGGTATGACTGTTCATCATTGGCTAGAAGTACAGGATATAAATACATATGCATATATTTGTGCATATATGTATATATACACATATGCTCCTCTTGCAAACCATTTCTAGACTAATTGTCTCGATTTATAGTTTGGTCATTAGTCCTTAAAGACATTTGCTTTGCTGAGGATGTAGCTCAGTGGTTGAGTACTTGCCTTGCATACATAAGGCCCCAGGTTTAATCCCTCACCCCTCAAAGAAAAAGAAAATCCAAAAAAATCCAGAAAGAATTCAATGACTTAGCTCTGTTGAGAAACAGACACTCTAAAGAATTCAAAAATGGAAAGTTATTTCTGTGATTGGTCACAGGATGGAGTAAAGTTTGAGACAGTTCCTACTTTATTCTTTACAAAAGGAAGTTGGAAATCTGTGTAGCACGGGAGCCATGCAGGCCCTCACGCTCTTTCATATGCATTGAATGTTGCTGCCTGCATAACATGTGAGCTAAAGATTCAAATAAAAAAATAGGACTCCAGAGCATTTCACATGCTCTGGTTCTCTCTGTGGTCCGGTGAAAGTCCTTCAGGCCCTTTCCCTAACGCTCAGGATGGGTGAGAAGGTCACGTCACAGACCTTAAGAGAAACTTCTGCCTTCCGGCAACTTCCCTTGTAACTTTCAAACAGACAGAGCCCCAAATCTAATTATTTAGATGGTAATCAACTGCAGAATAATCTTAAGGCAGTTGAATGGGCATTTTCAGAGAAGTCTGCACTGTTTAGTTTGGGGATTTTCAAACTCAAAGACACACTCAGTAAGATTTAAACATTAACGGACTCCAGGAACACCTGTATTGGCAAAAGACATTTGATAAACATTTTATTTATTTTTTGACTTTGGAAATAAATGACATCTAAATAAAAAATGTGCAGTCAATAGAGTTTTAGAGGGAAGTATAGAAAGGTTAAAAATGAAATAAACAACCCCAAACTCTGTATATCATACAGTTAAAGTAACTAAGTGTATGTTGTTAAATGCCAATTCAGAAGAATATCTGGTGCTTAAGAACAAGGAATAAAATAAAGACAGGAACCAGGATTCCTCCCAAGGCAAAAAGAAGCTTCTATACATACCCCTAATTTGCTTAGTCATTTTAGATTCCTGATAAGCTCTGAGCACTGTCAAGGGAGGGATGGCCAAAGCCATAAGCCATAACATTTGCGCCAAGACAAATATTTTCCAGACACATCATTTTAAATGTAAATCTTAATTTGGCCCATAGTTTTTTATCTTTTACATTTAATCTTACAATAGGGAAATTAATCCAAGAGAAATGCAGCAGGAAGCAGTTGTAAAGAGTTGGTTTCTCCTGAACCATGTAATTTTCCAATCAAGATGTAAACAACCTATTTGGAATTCTGAAACCTGAGAGGGAGTTGAAAGAGATCCTCAGAAAATGTCTCTAAGACTGCAAGTGATTGAAGAGTGGATAGAAGTGTGAGCACAAAATTGCAAGGCTTTGAATTGGCTTTTACAGGTCATCTGTAAGACAATTTGGAGAGAGTGCCTGGGCAACACTGCAGGGAACAGTTCGGAAATCTTAATAGGTTGTTCTGTTTAGATGTCTTGATTACCCAAAGTGAAAACCAAGAGTCGTGGGATGGTAAGAGTGGGTAAAGGTGCTTGTTGTCAAGCCTGACGACCAGAGTTCTATCCCCAGGACCCCAACATGGTGGAAGGAGAAAACCAATGCCTGCAGAGTCGTCCTTCGACCTCCATATACACTTGCATTACCCTTCCCATACACACAAATAAATAAATGAAAACCCCAAGAGTTAGAGACCCTCATCTTTTCCCAATAGGACGGGACCTTTATTTAAGGAATCCTTTCCCTTCCTCCTTTACCTCTTCTGTTTTTACCTGTCATTTCCTAAGAGTGTAGCCAGCATTCAGAATTGAGTAGCCTTGAAAGCGCTTCCTTTGAAGTTATTTTTGAAAACCAAGCAATTGTGTTTTTCCTCTACCAAATTTAAAAGAAAAAAAAAAAAAAAGGTCAGTCTTGTAGTAGAAATAACTCACTAATGGTTTAAGGGATCCATGTTACAACAAACCAAAATTTTATTTTAGGCTTAACAAATTGCTGTAGAAAAACACGCATGAAAGAAACGCTGGCAATATTCTTAGAAGAATCAAGGACGGCATCGCATTCCATAACTATATTGGGGGAGGTCTGAGAAGTTTGTTTACTAAGTTCTTGTGCACAAAAAAGTTTCCATAGCTTCCCTTGAGCCACATGAAACATAAAATGGTTTTTAAAGAGACGTACATAAAAGTGTAACGGGACCCTTCCACAGGGAGTTGAGGTTTTAAATAATGTTAGGGAAAGAAATGCCTTGTCTATTGATGTGTTTACCTCCCCACCCTAGAGTTCATTTTTAATTTTTTAAAAATGGGTTAAGATGGTGAACATCTCAAGTTTTCAAGTTTTCTCAATATGAAATATTTAAACAAATTACATGATATTTATTAGTCTTTCTCTCTTCCTCCTCTCCTCCTCTCCTTCTCCTCCTCCCATTTTCCTTCTCTCCTCCTCCTGCTCCTCCTCCTCCTCTCCTCCTCCTCCTGCTCCTCCTCCCCCTGCTCCTGCTCCTCCTTCTCCTCTCCATCTCACACGTGTCTCTCTCTCTCTCTCTCTCTCTCTCTCTCTCTCCTCCTCCTGCTCCTCCTCCTCCTCTCCTCCTCCTCCTCCTCCTCTCCTCCCCCCCACCTCCTCTTTTGAGACATTGTTTCTCTAGGTAGCCCAGGATGACCCCACACTTGCACTCTTCCTGCCTCAGCCTTCTGAGTGCTGGGATTTTAGGCTTGAGCCAGTACACTCAGCTATAAGCTCCATTTTAAAGACTTTAAAAATAGTCTTTAAATAAATCAGACATACCTAATTTGGATTGAAATAAGGTATTTAGTAATTACTATATCAATTGAAGTGTATGAATTTTCTAAGCATACATTATAAAATTGTATAAGCTCTAAGAAAGGTGAGAAAGAAGAGGAGGGGGAGTGGGAGGAGGAAGAGGAGGAGGAAGAGGAGGAGGAGGGGGAAGAGGGGAGGAGGAGGAAGAGGAGGGGGAGGAGGAGGAAGAGGAGGGGGAGGAGGAGAGGGGGGAGCCCTATAGGTAGAGGTCCAAGAAATAATTAAAATGCATTCTTAGTTATATTCAAATTTTTAAAATGAAGAAGTTGATTTACTAGACAGCCTTGGACAGGATCCCATGAAATCCTATGCTCTACTGTCTGCCTGTGGCTGTGAGCCTATTGATCTGCATTTTATTTTTTAATGGTCACTTTTTGGCAATCCCCAATAAAACTGTGCTTGGCTACTAATGATTAATTTTTAGAATAGAACTAATTTTCACACATTTTGCTACATACCTTGGGAAACTTTAGATCCATGGGATAGCTTTCCAAGTATAGATGGACTGTGTTGCTTTGCTTATCCTTGCCTGCTTCACTGTGTTTCAAATGGAGGGAGGGCAGGGAAAGGAGGCCTTTGGATGGACAAGGGTGGTAAGCAGATTCTGTGTCTTTCTCAGTTGTTTGGAGAAATTTTAAATTTGTTTTGGCTTGAAAAAGTTATTTATTTGATTTTATGTGTATGAATGGTTTGCTTGCTTGGATGTAAGTGCATCCATGATATTCAATGCCTGCAGAGGGAATCAGACTCCTAGCTACCATGGGAGTGTTGGAAACTGAACCCGGGTCTTCTACAAGAGCAGTCAGTGCTCTTAACCACTGAGCAATCTCTTCAGCCCTTGTTTTGGCTTTTCGAGACAGAGTTTCACATTATAGCCCAAGTTGGCCTTAGACTCAAGCTAGTCCTCTTGCCTCAGCCCCCTGAGTGCTGGGATTACAGGCTTTGGAAAATCTTCTACCATTTGTTTGTTCCACACTGAGTATCTTCCAAGAAGAACTGAGGTAGAAAGGCAACAGCTGTGGCCTCTCCCATGTCTCATAAGTCAGAGTAGAAAAATGAGATTATAGAGTGGGGGATGAGGGAAGTGCAAGGGAACAGCAGCAGAGGAGAAATGATTTCTAGTTGCCAACCAATGGTCAAGACCAAGGAGGTGCTTTCTTGAGAGGGAGCATGGTGAGAAAAAATGGAGTTCTGAAAATACATACACAGAAACTGATTTGGATTTCTTTATTTTTGCAGTGCTGGGGGTCAAATCCAGGACTTTGTACATATCAGGTAAGCACTCTACCAGAGAGCTACATCCCCAGCCTTAATTTGTAAGAAAAATGCATATATATGTATGTTTGTATATATGTATATATAAAGCAAATGGCTTTCAATCATACGTGATGGCCAGGGATGTAGCTTTGTGGTATAGTGCTTGCTTAGCATGTAGGAGGCCCTGGGTTCAATCCACAGCAACACACACACACACACACACACACACACACACACCCACCCATCACTTAGATTTCCAGATGTAATATATTAGACCTTTTTCTGTATAACTAATATAACTTCTCCTGCTCTCTGTCCCTTCTTTACTTTTCTTTGAAATTCCAGTCTGATGTTATCACTGGAGACATAATCTTTCCTCTCTGTCTTCCTCCTCTCCTTCCTTCTTTCCCTTCTCCCTCCCCTTTCTTCTCCTGAAAGCGCAGTCAGATGCTATCGTCCACATGAGGTCATATTACTGCCACTTTGAATCAAGGTCACAGTGCTCAGAACAACTCTTCAGCAGATTTCCAAAGATATAAAAATTGGACCTTTAAGTTTTTCTGCCAGCTCTGGGCTGCTATCTGTTTCTGTCCACAGTTTAACTTCTTCCAATATTCCTGTTTATTGTAGGTCATGGGACTCCTGACCAACCATGGTGGGGTACCACATCAGCCTCAGACCGATTATGCTCTGTCCCCTCTCACTGGGGGCCTGGAACCTACGACCACAGTGTCGGCCAGCTGCAGTCAGAGACTGGAACATATGAAGAACTTGGACAGTCTGCCCACATCGCAGTCCTATTGTCCCCCCACCTACAGCACCACAGGCTACAGTATGGACCCTGTTACAGGCTACCAATATGGGCAGTATGGACAAAGTAAGCCTTGGACGTTCTAGGGCGTAGTCCCTCCCAGAAGGGAGAGAGATCACCTCTTGCCTGAGGAAGGGGAAATGGAGGCATGATTAAGCCTTTCATCCCAGTACCAGTTTCATGGCAAAGCCAGCTGATTGCTACAGCACAGGCTCCCTTGTGTAATTATTGTTTTAACTGATGTCAATAACATCTTGCAGTTATTAATTGCTGGGACGTAAAACCGGATTGTCAGTAGGTAAAACATGGAGGTTGGCCCAAATGAAGTAACCTCTGGCATTAGAAACACATGTTCTTAATGAGGTCAGCTCAAGGATCATATGGGGGATAATCCCGGGACACAGAGTTGTGTCAAACTTGTCTCAGGAATAAAAATACTAGCCTCGATCCTTTGATACCATGGTATTAAATATGACATTGTCAGCCTGTAGCTGATCTTGCCCCTGACTGTGAATTGTCCCAGCACGACCTAAAAAGCTGCGTGTGTTTCCTTACAGGTGCCTTTCATTATCTCAAGCCAGATATTGCATAAGTGAACTGTCCACTTGGAGCTAAAACTGGTCCTGTTTCCAGCCTCCACAGCCTAGACATGAAGAATCTTCTCAGAAACAAACAAACAAAAATAAATAAATAAAAAAAATTAAAAATCAGCTTTGGGGGGAGGTGGAGACAAAGGACAGTGATTGATTTTCCTTTCCAGTAGTTGGTTTCAGATTCTTTTGAACATGTTGGACAAAAAGCAGTGGAGAAGAGAAGACCGTGAGCAATCAAAGGCAAACACACCATTTTAAGGCAATGGTGCAAATCTGGCTATGTATCAAACTATTCCCAAGTCTTTGTTGATGACCAAGAAGTTTAAACATTCCGTGTGCGTGTGTGTGTGTGTGTGGGTGTGTGTGTGTGTGTGGGTGTGTGTGTGTGTGTGTGTGTGTGTGTGTGTGTGTGATTTACCTGAACTGGTTTGAGCAAGCAGAATGTCCCCAAATACAGTAGGAGAATGCTCAAAAGTAACATGTTAAATGTCCAAGGCGGACACTTCAACAGCTTTTACTCTGTTTATGTACTGAAGCAGAATTGGAGGAATCTTTGACTTTGACACACTGGAAACTCATAGAAAAACCAATGCCAACATTTTATAGGAGGATAGACTAGGTGTAAAGGACCTCCCAAATAAATTATTTGTTACCATAGCCTCATTTGTAATCTACTTGTCAATAAATGTCCCAGACATGTCTGGTCGCAGGAGGTGGGCTGACAGGAAGGAAAACCTTGTTTTCTACTGTTAGGAGAGGTGTGTGGCGGTTCCCTGATTCATGTTTGCTTGGAAGCCAGCTGGGGTGGAGGGAAGGCATAATGGAGAAGTGACATCCATCACCACATATCTGCTTCTCGGTGTGCAATACTGTGTACCTCACAGATGCTTTGGCAATGGCCAAGGTGAAAGAAACAAAATCAGAACTATATTTTTGCAGGTGTTTTTTATTTTTGCAGCCCATAACTCATCACGGTAGAATGCAGTGATGTTCTCTTTGTTGGATCAACCAACACTCCCGCTTGCTTCTTTTGATTAGACGCCGTGTCTGAGAATAATGCTTTCTACAATGACAACGTTTACACTTTTCCCTTTTCTATGAAAGGCAGGGCAAGAACAGAAATGTCCATGTGGCTCTCATGTGGTTTTAAATTATACAATGATATCCAATATTAAAAGATTATAGGAACTAAGGTTTACATACATGTATGTGGTGACATTTTAGGATGTCAGTAAATCTGTGTTTTAAAATGTAAAGAGGAACAAGAAGCTGGAAGGCAGTGTTATTTATTTCTTTCTGTTCTTGGAACCATGAATGAGGTAGGCACAGATCCATTTCTTTTAGACTTAAGAACAATGAAGTAGTGTGTTAGGGGGGCTAGGGATAGTGCTGAGTTAGTTCATGCATTGGACAAGGGTGACAGAACAGAAGTAGTAGCCTTGTGTTGCAGCCTCAGCCAACAACAATGTGTTGTAAAAAATCTTTCATGTAAAAAGTGCAGTAAATATTTACTATTTATAATGAATAAACAGTTATGAAAACTTGCCCAACATTGCTTTCTTGGGGGAACTGGTAGATATAGCCTGAATAAAGAAGGTGGCTAAGGGGAGCCATGAACCCCACTTCTCTTGTACAGGAGAATACAACATGAACAAAGGAAGGTCTGTAATGCAGGATGCTGGGTTGAATGCACTCCGAAGGACTGACATTTGCAACTTCATGGGTGTGAATCTAGAAAAACCTTCTGGTCTACCAAGCTTGGTTCTATCAGAGATGTCAGATCCCTTTGGAACCCTTTGCTTTAGGTTCCCCAGCACACAAGGTTCTATCTTCATCCCTAAGACTCCTCTGCATTGAAAGTTTTTTATTTAAAACTCTCACATTTCCTTTTAGCAGTTCATTTTCACTTCAGGCTTGGGAGGAAATATTACTGCCCATTTCTTTTATTTTTTTCCTCCCCTTCTCCTCCCTTGGTATCTTCTTCCCAACTCCTCCTCCGTCATCTTTTCCTTGGGCAATTATTTCACAGAGTGAATTTGCCAGGTATGGCGCTAGACACTGGTGTTATGATAGGGCACAAAGTAGGTAAGGCAGGAACGAATGTGCTGCCTCCCTACAGTCTGAGAATTGTTATTATGGGGGAATAATCACAGTACCTTTGAAACTCTTGATTAACTTATTCCTCCAAATGTCTGTTGTGAGTTCACTAGTATGCCTCTTTTACAGCTGATGAAACTGAGGCAAAAGGTCTTATGTGAGATCACCCAGGGGAAAGCTGGCTCTGAATGAACCTTAATATTCTAATTTCAAAACTTATGTGCTTAAGCTGACATTCTCCTTCCTCCAGCCCACAGCAATGGCAATCAGACCCACAGGAGCACTGCCCTGTGTAGTAACTGCGAAGCATGTGTAGCTGCTGAAGTTTGAAGTAATTAAAGGAAAACAAGATTTAAAAGCTAGCTCTTTAGATGCACTAACCACATTTCAAGTGTGTGAGAGCCACATGTGGTCAGAAGCTGCCATATTAGGTGGGCATTGCTGTTGAATATTCTGGAACAGCAGGCTGTCTATTCTATTGGTCAGCCGACCTAAAGCATGTGGGATTTAAAAAAATCCTGAAGGCTTGATGCAGAGTAGGTAAAATTTTCCAAGTTTTAAAAATGATTTTTCCCTTTTCAGCTCACGTGCTTGTCTTTTTGATATGTTTGATATGTTTTCTCTGTTGCTCTTTTAATGATGATTATGTATTCTAAAAACAGTACAGTTAGAGGAAAGATACATAGTTATCACTGGATATTTAACTTTTATTAGTCTCCACAAAACCCCTGTGGGGTGGGTGTTACCAGCCCCACTGTGCAGATGATCAGATGAGTAGACTGAGACCTGGCAGTTGGGTCAAGGCCACACATAGAGAGGGAGCGGAATTCAATTCCTACCAAACCTCACTGTAGAAGTTACGTAAGTTTATCTCAAATGCTGCCTGTAATACCTGCTTCATTCTGTCAACCCACCTTCACCCCAAAAAAAAAAAAAAAAAAAAAAAAAAAAAAAAAAAAAAAAAAAAAAAAAAAAAAAAAAAAAAAATCCCTCTCGGTGCACAAGAGGCATTCTGCCTCGACTCGGGTTTCACAACAGGCGCTTGTCTTTCCGGACCTGTCTCCTCTCTGTCCCTAATGTCAGGACCTGCCATATGTGGCCCAGCTCTCTTTTCATACACTTCTTTATGCCCTTCTCTTATTTCTGTGTGTCTTCCGAAGCAATTTTTTGTGCTGCTCCATTCTGCTGCTCCAGTTCAAAGTCTGTATAGATCTTTCTTCTCCTGATTTTTGTTTTCATCTAGTTAGTCTCCAAGGAACCGAATACCCAGATGCTTCCCCCCTGGGCTGGAGTGTCTACTCTCATCATCCAGGACAAGCCACACTGAGGAAGGTGAACCTTCAGCCTTGAACTGAGTTTGACCCTGCTGTATATGAAGTTTCCCCATTGACTACACCATCAGTTACACATATTTGAAAGGCTAAAAGTGAAAGCTAAGAGTCAGAGTAGAGGGTCATTAAATTGTGGCCATCCTATGGTCATCTGATGAGTCATCCTTATGTAGCAGTTTTCCTAGGAATAGATATACTATTTTACAAATATATTATTTTATTCCTTTCATTAATCCAATCTGGAGAGGTATTTATACATACACTTGAATATTTGAGCAAAACTGAGGGGGACATTTGTCAATGCTAACCTATAGAGCTGCAGAAGTGGGCAAGGTCACTGGCTCACAGATGTGAGTTTGGAAACTGTCATGAATGGAGAAAAGGATGGATTCATAAATGCTCTGTGTGGACAAGGCACCAGAGAACCTGTCCTTTTACTACATCAGTAAGATTTGAAACTAATACGTGGAACCAGAACCAAGGTCTCTATAGAAGGAAATTTACCCTGGGGATGAAGAATTGGGCCTCAAGTTCCTCTGAGTGAATGCTATTGGTGTTTAACCATTCACAGGTAAGCAGAGCTTGTATCAATCAAGAACAAGCACAAATGCCAAGGGGCAGGATTTATGACAGGCCTCAGCATTCATGGACTTAAAGGTTAGTGTTAGATGATGTGTGAGGAGGAAGGAAGGAAGAGGTAGAGCTTGTCTGGTCCTCTCATTGAACGGTGGTGATCTAAAACATGCTCAAGTTTTTTATAGATCCATCTCAGCACTGCTGAGCACTGATTGTATCCCAAGAGCTTAGCACCTAATCTCACCCATATCAGACACTCAAAACCCACCTGCTGAATACATAAATAAAGAGTGGCTTGCTTATACTGTCTCCACTTCATCTTCTGGACAAGGGGACATTTAGCTTGTGTAGGACCAAAGGCATATAGATGTCTCAAGATTGGATTGGAGCAAAGACTGAGGGAAGCAGTGGAAGATGGGGCCTAATAAGTCCACTACGAGCCTGATTTCTAGTGTTTCTGACTGACGCAGAGGGTGCTAAGTGAGAATTTGCTGGATTCACCACTGGAAGGTTTAGAACTTAAACACTCGGTTTGTTTATTTTTAGGAAAGTGCTCTGTTCAGACCTGGCTGTATCATAATCTGGTGGGATACAAAAATGAGGAGAGAGAGAGAGAGAGAGAGAGAGAGAGAGAGAGAGAGAGAGAGAGAATGAGGGGGAGAGGAGGGGAATATAAATCTCCCCAGGTCCACTCAGACCACTGGACTCAGAATCCATAGAAATGGATGCAAAGACGTTTGGCAAAGCAAGCTTGGGCACAAAATCTTTGACTGCATTGAAGCCTTGACCACATCTGACCATGTAAGTTTTGGGGGCTTGAAGCAATGGTTGGGCCATTCACCCTGGCATACCCAAGACAGGAAAATCACTTTGAAATATAGAGACACATGAACCTTATCTTCCCCAACATGCCCCCATCTCTATGCCTCCTCAAACCAGATGTGGAAATTCAGGTGGTCCAGCCATGGTGCCAGAGATGTGTGGTGGGGTTAGGTGGCCGAGTGGAGCCAACCAGTTGGATCTTGTACTTTTATGTCATAATGTCTTCAGCTGGAAGCTTACAAAGCTAATCTGCGCAGACATGAGTCCTGCTTGGCCCCTTCTCTTAGAGGTGTGGTGACATCTTGCTCTCTGGGCTCTTGTGATCCTGTGGCCTTTGAGAAAGTTCTGAGCACAAACTCCTGTTACCTGGCTCTCCCACTCCATGTAGCCCAGCAACCATACAACCCCTGAGCTTCAGAAATGCTCCCTGTCACTCCTGGCTTTCTTACTATTTGCTTGCTGAGGAAGAGGGCAGTGATTTTTATCTCCTCATTATTGACTCATGCATTGGATGTTTACTGAGCGCGGTATG